AGGGAGGCAGCTAAGAAGGAGGCTCTGCTCTTGGTAAACAGGCTCTGCATCAACCCAAGACCATAGGAAATCTGGCTAATAACTAATCATTTCATTGGGAACAGACTCTGAGACTCAATTCCTTCATCCATAAAAAGGAAGATAATGACATTGCTCTCAGACTCACAGGGGTGAAGGGAGGTGTGGCTTTTGTAAGGTTAGCATCAGAGAAGTGGGAGCTCTGGCTGACTAAAACAACATCTCCCAGACATCTAGAAAAGCTGTATTCTCTGCCTTGGAACCACATCAACCCCCACAGCCACCGAGTTCAAAGGTGGCAGTTACTGTGATTCTGCTGTAAGCAGAACCTGTAATCAGTATCTTGGATTCTGGATGAAGAAAACAGTCCCCTAAAAGCTTCCCAGGGGGCAGCTAGGTGGCGCAGTGGATAGAGCACTGGCCCTGAAGTCAGGAGGACCTGAGTTCAAATCCGACCTCAAACCAAACACACTTACTAGCTGTGTGACCCTGGGCAAGTCACTTAACCTCAATTGCCTAAAAATAAAAAAAAAAAATTAAAAGCTTCCCAGAAACTAGCTACAGATATTACAGATCTCTCTCTCTCTCTCTCTCTCTCTCTCTCTCTCTCTCTCTCTCTCTCTCTCTCTCTCTCTCTCTCTCCCTATATATATATATATATATATATATATATATATATGTACATACATATATTTAATACATGTATATGTGTATATATATATATATATGTACATACATATATTTAATACATGTATATGTGTATATATATATATGTATACACACATACATATGTATATTTTTGTTTTGTTCATTCATTTATTCATTTGTTTTTTCATTTAAACTTAGATTCAGAAGACTTGGATTCAAATAATGCCCCTGACATATCATGGCTATGTGACCACATATAAGTCTTTAACTCCCTTCAGCCTCATCTTCCTCATAATTTATAACTAATGATGTATAGTGCTTTACGATCTGCAAAGCACTTTATATGTATAACCTCTTTTCATCCTCACAATAACCCTGGAAGGTGGGTGCTTCTATTATCCCCTTTTTACAGATGAAGAAATCAAGGAAAGCAGAAGTTGTGATCTGCCCAGGGACACACAAGGTATCTGAAGCTAGATTTGAACTCAGGTCTTTCTGAATCCAGGGCCACCACCTTGACGTTTCTGCTGCTCGTCCAGAACATGAGATGCACTGCCAGAGTCTCAGGGCTATTGTGAGCTTCAAAGCAAAACATGGGCCACTAATGAAGACCTTCAAGTGCCCCATAAATGTCAGTGATTATCAATTCTGTGTCAGTCCTCGCCATCTCTGGAGTCTTCACTAAATGGAAATAAAATGCCCAGTGTTAAGCTCATGTCTTGTGTGAGCCAAATTGTAAACTCTCACCACCAGCAGCTTTCTGCAGTCCATAGGAATTACATGCATTTCACAGGAAGGCCAATCGCAGTTCTTGACCTCTCAGAAGAGTCAGTTTCCTCATACAAACAAATGGGAAGATAAGAAGGCAGGTTATCAATAAGGGGATAAGCTTTGCCTAAAATGTCTCCAATATGAGCCTAATATCTAAGATATATTGGCAATTAAAACAAACACAAAACTAAGAGCCATCTCCAAAAAGATAAGTGGTCAAGGATCAATCTGAACAAAGAGTTCTCAAAAATTGCAATTAACAGCCGTAGGAAATATTGACCCAGTTTACCTAAAAAGAAAAGAAATGTAAGCCAAAACAATTTCGATGTTTCCCTTCATACCAAAAGAAAAAATAAGAATGGTTACGGTGACAGAACTGAAAATAGTCAAAGTTGGTGGCCCCTGGACAGGCTGGAGTTATGCATTGGGCCAACCATTTTGAACAACAATCAGGAACTGTGATTTTGTTGTTCAATCTTTTCAGTTGTATCCAACTCATTGTGCCCCATCTGGGGTTTTCTTGGCAAAGATAGAGGAATGATTTGCCATTTCCTTCTCCAGCTCATTTTACAGATGAGGAAACTAAGCCAAACAGGGTTAAGTTACTTGGCCAGAGTCACACCACTATTAAGTGTCTGAGGCCAGATTGGTGCTCAGGTCTTTCTGACTCTAGGCCTGGCAGTCTATCCATTGGGCCACACATCTCATGAATGTCGCAGACAACATTTGAACTGAGGTCAGCCTATCTCCAGATCCAATGCTTGACCTACAAGGTGCTGCTGTGTTTGGTGTCTATGTAGCTTTGTCGGACATGTTTCTGAAGTGAAGGTGGGTCTGGACGGAAGTGCCCATGGCCAACAGCTCCAGCCCTGCTATTTCTCAGAATGTCTCACTGGCAGTTATCCGTGGGAACAGGGGAGTGAGAGAGTCGGGGATCCCTCCAACGCACCTCACTGGTTCTTGAGTTCAGGGATTAAAGTTGGTAGCTTTGCATCTTTGGGTAGGAGAAGACAGAGCACACTCGAGCCAGCCTGCAAGGTCGTAAAGTTCAAATCCTCTAAGTGCTAGGATTAACTGCTCTGAGTCCTGGCTTCAGTGGGAACCTGGAGCAGAAGGAAGCTAGTCTTATTAATAATGAGAGTATAAAGATTATTCTCCTACTGAAATGTTAATCACAAGACCCAGTTTGTAGGTGTTATCAAGCAAAATAATCCATTTCTTAAATATAAGGAGTCAGCAAACTTCACAGTATCTCCAGAGCCTCATTAAAAAATATTACCATCTTTTAAAAAATCAGCTCAGTCCTGAGTCATCCCTCCAGGAGGTGACTATCCCCCCCATCCCCTGCCAAGTCACACTTGAGTATCTGAGGAACAGGGGACAGCAGCTGCTTAAGTGGTCATCTCTTTTGGAAGCGGCCACAAAATGCCCATTCTGAGATGCTGTCCTGGCCATTGACGTCCTGCCCATGCCAGGTCCTTTAGTCGTGTGATATCAGTGCTTATTAATAGTCAATAGTCAAGGGGCAACTAGGTGGTGTGGTGGATAGAGTATTGGCCCTGGAGTCAGAAGGACCTGAGTTCAAATCCAGCCTCAGATACTTGACAGTTACTAGCTGTGTGACCCTGGGAAAATCACTTAACCCAGATTACCTCGCTGCACTCCAAAAATTAGTCAAAAAACATTTATAAAGTTCTGTCTATGAACCAGGTACTATGCTAAAAACACTTTGTAAATACGGTTTTGTTTGATCCTGGCATATCGTAGGTATTTAACAAATGCTTGTGAAATTGTATTGAATTAAACTGAATCATATTAAAGCTTTTAAAATTCTGGAGGACAGTTCCTGTGTCTGTGGCCTGCTCCCTCCTACTGCTCTTCCTCATTAGCCTGGCAGGCCCCACCAGAGGTGGCCCAGCCTCCAGGCCAAGGGGCAGCCAGTAGAAGAAAGGGTACTTACAACGTGGCAATGGCCCATTATCTCTAGACATTGAGCTTAAAAAGCACAACAATACACGTCCCAAAGATTGTCATCCACAAGGTCAGAGAGGGGAGTTGACTTTCCCAAGGTCACATAGCTCATAAGCAGGTCGTGGGGCCCAAGTTTACTGACTTGGAGCCAGGCTCTTTCCCACCATACCATACATCTGAGGTGTCCAGAAGGACAAACGTATCACTGGAAGGGGCTCGATTTTACTGAATTCCAAACGGCTGGGATTTGGATCCAGGAATACCTTGATGGGAGAAGAGTGGGAGCTTCTAAAGTCCCTCCCTTGAACTGCTTGTCTGTCATGTGTGCATGTGTGTGTTCATATGTGTGTTCACATGTGTGCACGTGTTCCTGGGTGTGGATGTGTGTGTACGTGTGTGCCTCTGTGAGTGTGTGTATCTTAAACACACATAGACACAAGGCCTAGGAGACTCTTTAACACTGAAATTTGGGGTGAAGAACCAAAGGGAGAATAAATGAGCTGGGAAATTAAGCGCATCAAAATGTCTGTCACGTGTGTGCATGAGCAGGAAGACAAGGATTCAGTTTTTATCAACAGAAATGTGATTCCCCAAATCACATGTGTGGCTCCTCACCCTTTGACCTCACTTGTGGTCTATGGTTTCCAGAATCCTTGCCCTCTCCTCTTTGTCCTTTCCCTGAACAAAGTCATAAGAGCTGTCCTGCTATGCACCCTTCACCCCTCCCCTCCCCTCTCTTCCCCTCCCCTCCCTCCCCCTCCCCTTCCCTCCCTTCCTCCCCTCTCCTCCCCTCTCCTCCCCTCTCCTGTCCTCCCCTCTTCTCTCTTCTCCTCTCCTCTCCTCCCCTCCCCCTCCCCTCCTCTCTTCTCCCCTTTATTTTAACTTGGTGTTTATCTGCTGGCAGGGGTCCCTCCCTCCTTGTGTTCTTTGACTCCCTAGAGCCCAGTCTTCATTGCTTCAATTTCCTGCTCCCCAGCAGCTCCTTTCATGCCAGGCTTGTACCCATTCCTAGATCCTCTGGCCTCTGCCCCTGGAAGACCGGTGTTTGCCCCCCCCCCTTTGGACTTTGTAGCCCTGCTTCTGGCCTCTCTCCCAACTGCTTAGGCCACCCACCCACTGTGTGGGGTTGCCTTCACCAGCTTGTGAAATGTGGGCAGTTGTCCTCTCTCTGGGTCTCAGTTTTTCCTTTCACCCAGTGAGGGGCTTGGAAGAGAGGTTCCCTAAGTCCAGCCCCCATCCTGGCTCTGATACTTTGGCTTCTACTTGCTGAGTTCTTTGGCCCCTAGGAAAGGCATGGCCACAAGCTCGGGGAACCTTTGATGCCCAGCTGGCTGGGCTCTCTGGGATCCCCGCTGTGGTGACTGAACAGAGACACCCCCTGCCACCCACACTCCTCCTTCCCATGGTGGGCAGGAAGCCTCACTTTGTAAGAGAATGTTTCTCCTATTTTCAGAACTCAGCTGGCTGGCAAAGCTTTTACTCCTCCTTTCATACTCTTCTCAAACCTGCCTCTCCACTGGGCAGCCTTCCCTAGCCTGTCCTCATCCTCCCCAATCTCCTTAGCGCACACAGCACCTTCTGAAAATGCCACCAATGTTTATTAAGCCCCTGTGGGCTGCCTGGCACTGTGCTAGGCACCAAGGGCACAAATGCAAGCACAAAGACATGCAGCCCCTGCCCTCAAGGAGATTATATTCTAAGGGGGGAGATCCAGAAAGCAGAGGGGCCAAGTGAGACAGGCTAGTGCAGTCCAGAGGTCCAGGGGAGGTCAGAAGGATGACTGGCCCAGGCCCTTCCTCCAGTGGAGCCTTAGAATGGCTCGTCAACAGGACCAGCAGACTCCAGGGCTAAGGAAGAGATGCTTCAGGATGAGAAGGCGGCCACAGTGTGGTGGCAGCAGCCAGAGTCAGGAGAGGCGTGTCTAGGAGTCATTCCATCACCTCTTGCCTCATGTCTCTGCTCTTTGGTCATGCCTTTCAATCATGCTGGAATTTTGGCCTGGCACCTGGACTGGGCACTCCTAAGAGAAGGATCCACATGGGGCTGTAGAAGGCAACAGCACTGGCCCTGTTGGCCCAGAGGGAGGGACTCAGCGGAGGCAGGAGTCAGGATCTCTTCTTCCTTGACCATTTCTTATATCGCCAGGCTCCAGGAAGAGGGGAAGAGAGGGAACCTTTTAGTCACCAACTGAAAGTCCACACACAAACACATGAACCCAGCACTTTGGGTTCCAGTCCAGAGCCAAATGCTGTGTCTCTTGTGGATGGTCACCACAGCTTCTATCTTGGGAGCAATTTGGGCAAGTTAAGACATATGTGGAACAATAGAAAGAGCCCCAAACTTGGAGGCCAGGAAACAGTCTAAATCAGTGCTCTGTGACCTACTATCTTCATGTCTTTGGGCCCCAGTCCTCTTGTTATTGTCTGTAAAATGAAGGGGATGAGCCATATCAACTCCAAGGACTCTTCCAGCTTGAGGTTGTCTGATTGATTGTCTGAAATAGATCTGATTGTCTGAAAGAGAAGCCAAGAGAATGCCAAGGGGGATAGAGAGAAGAAGGAGGAGGAGGAGAAGAAGAAAAAGAGGAGGAGGAAGAAGAAGAAGAAGAAGAAGAAGAAGAAGAAGAAGAAGAAGAAGAAGAAGAAGAAGAAGAAGAAGAAGAAGAAGAAGAAGGAGGAGGAGGAGGAGGAGGAGGAGGAGGAGGAGAAGAGGAGGAGGAGGGGGAGGAGAGGAGAAAACTGCAGGAAAACAGACTTGGACAGGGACCCTGAGGGTTCAATGTCTAAAGGATTATATGGGAGTGGGGGTACAGGAGAGATGGGAAGGAGGCTGTGAGTGCAACATAAGATTGCTGAATGTGGGCTTTGTGCTTTGGGTAGGATTTAGTTGCATGGACTTTTTTTTTTTCCTTCTTTGCCTTTTGCATAACTTCTCTGCATTAAAAATGTGACTCATTCCCCATATACCTGGGTGGGAGGGGGCTAGGATGGATAAGGGGAATGGTCTCTTCTGTATGGATTTCTTTACAAAACACAGCAGAAACTGCAAAGATGATTCCAGCCCCCATGAGAGGATCCCAACAACCACCCCATCCTGTTAAAAGGGGGCTCTGCACACTAAAGGCCCCTTGGAAAAACCTTTTCTCCCCCTCCCATCTGGAGCCCTCCCTTCAGCTGCGATTAATGAATTCTGCTAATGAGTCACCTTGTCAGGCTCCATCTCACTCATTAGCAGTGGAGTTAAAAACCTTCCACCTCTCCCCGAAGCAAGCGAGCTCCTGAGCCGCAAAAAACATTCAGAGGAGGGGAGAAAATGATGAAAAATAGATGAAGTATCTTTCAGAATAACATTTAGTGGGAAACAGTTCTGAGAGGTGTGGGGAGGGAGCAGAGCTGGGAAGCGCCAGGACTGTCTTCCCTGCAGCCCAGCTCCATGGGTTGGGCCACGGAGATGCCCCTCGGGTGGCAAGGAAGCTAGGAGCCCAATCCACAACCAGAGATGCCCATGAGGGCTAGGATCATTGGAGGACATTGACCAGACCCAACATGAGGAAGGGCACCAATGCACAAAGTGTCAACCCCTTCGATTAGAAACCCAGCCTCTTTTGGTCTCAGTTTTCCCATCTGTATGTCAAGGGACTTAGAATAAATTATCCCCTCTAGCTGTAAGTCCTACAATGTGGTAAGTTACCAGCCCCTGGGTGCAGAGCAGCAGCCCTACATACTGCAGACACTTCAAGGCAGAGCAGCCTTTCCTGGGCAGGCAAGCGGCTGGGGCTGTAGGAGCTGACCCAATGTCTGAGAAGCTCAGAGGACCAAGGCAGAGCCTGCTCAGGCAGCCTGCTCACCACGTAGAAAATGAAGGATTAAAGGCTTCAGTTAGCCAGGCTTGACCTCCCAGGATAAGGTAGCTGTGTGAGAGTGCCCAGAGATTGCGGCCAGGAAGAAACCCACGTGGACACTGACCTGGCTATCTCCTGAGACAGCTCATTCTCCTGCATAAGCTGGCCCTTTTTTCTTCCAATGGGGAGAATCTGTTATTTCAGGAGGGAAGGAGGCAGCTGGGCCAGATCTTCTGGGAGAGCTATCTCCTCCCTCTGGGATCACTGGCTCCTACACGTTGAACCAGAGGAGGAGTGATGTGTGATGGAAAGAGTCCTGGGCCAGAGGTCAGAAGAGACGGGTCCCAGCCCTGGTTTCATGGCTGAGAGTGAATCACTGCCCTTTGTGGCCCTCAGTATCTACATTTGCAAAATCAGAATGACCCCACTTACCCTGCCAACCAATCCCCTGGAGTTTCTGTGAGGCAGCAAAAAGTGGCCCTGAAGCTTTCCTGGGGAATATTAGAATATTAGAACTATTAGGAAGGTCATTCCTTTTGAATGTATCAAGATTCATACCAGCCCCTCTTTTGCTAAGGGCCTGCTGGGGCCCAATCAGTTGACTAACATGTAGTAAGTGTCTACTATGTGGCAGACAGTGTACAGAGCCCTACCAGCAGGAGTGAGAAGGTGTGCTCTCAGCAACATCCTGGCCTGGGGCTCCTTGCTATGACAGAGTGGGGCACAGCTGGCTGGTTCTCCTGGGCCTGTTTCAACAGCAGAGGGCCCTGGGGAGGCCTCAGGCAAAGGATCTGCTGATGAACCTTCCCTCAGGAGAGCTGTAATTGTCTGCGGTCACTTCAGACTATGCAGTCCCCCTCAAACTCCTACACCAGCTTTAGTCCAGGCCCTAGTCCTTATTCTTCCTGCAGTCCTCCCCAAGGCTAGACAGTGAGGTGGGAGCAGTGCCTGCACCAGGCCTGGAGCAGTAGAGAGTCCCTCAAGCGCTCCTGGAGTCTGGGCCTCTATGTTATGTGTCTGCCTAGATTTCCCCAAACCTGCATAAACACAGCCTGGGAACCTTAAAGGAGAAAGTATCTGAAGGGTGGCCATGGGGCCAGGGGCAGGAGTGGGCAGGGGGAGGTTTTAGCTACTGGATGCAGGAAACCATCTGCTGACGCTGAGCTCAGCCCCCAGCCCAAGACCACCCCCTGAGGCTCTGTAGACCCAGGCCAAGGTGTCTAGTGCACCAAGCCACTGGATGGAAAAAATTAATTGTGAGTGATCCACAGTCCAAGTTACCACAAGCATTTGTGCAGCGCCTACTATGTGCCTAGCACTGCACCCAGAGCATTACGAACATGATCTCATTTGATCCTCACAATGACCTTGTAAGCCAGACGCTGTTATTAACCCCATTTTGCAGCTGAAGAAACTGCGACTCATCCAGGGTCCCACAGCTAACAAGGCTGTGCCACTGGATTTGCACTCAGGTCTTCCTGACTCCAGACCAGTCATTCAATCCACCAAGCCACCTGACTGCCTCAATGGTGTGTCTCAGCTGAAGAAAAGTGAGGAGGCCAGAACTCTTGGAGGGAAGTAAAATGTAAGAGGAGGTCAGATCAAGAGGGCCTTCAAAAGCCAAGCTGAGGACTTTGTATTTGATCCTGGAGGCCAGAGGGCCACTGGAGTTCAATGGGGACATGGTCACAGCTGTGCTTCAGGAAAATCACTTTAGTGGCTGAGAGGAGGATGGACTGGGGTGGGGGCGGGCTGGGGCAGGAAGGTTCCAGTCATGAGGTGATGACGGTGCACCAGGGTGGGGGCAGAGGAGAGAAGGGAGCATATGTGAGAGGCGCTCTAAAGGCAGGAAAGACAGAACATGACTGCAGACTGGGTGTGGTGGGGAAGGAGAGAGGAGTGAGGACAATTTCCAGGTTGGGAGTCTGGGAGATGGGGAGGTTGGAGGTGCCCCTGACAGGGATGGGGAGGGCTTAGAGGGAGAGAGAATGAGTTTGCTTTCGCCATGTTGGATTTAAGGTGTCTACTGGCCATCCAATTTGAGATGGGCAGGAGGCAGTTCCCTTGGGGGCCTCCGGAAAGCCAAGCCAACTGTCAGGGCCAACCTGGCTCATCCACAAGCTGAAATCTCAAGGGGTCCCAAGAGGTCAGAGTCATTCTGTTAGCTATTCCACAAGCATTTCTGAAGCTCACGTCTGCTCTGGGTTTGGTGCTAAATGCTGGGGATACAAAGAAAGGAAAGAAACACCATGGTCCTCTCCTTCGAGGAGCTCACATTCCAAAGAGAGAGCTGTGATGGAGCTTACCATGGTCTAGTCCCACTTCCCCACTACATGAGGAAGACAGTACGGCTGGGGAGGGAAAGGACTTTCCCAAGGTCATGCCTAAGGTGATCTTCCTGCCTCCATTCAAACAAACTGAGGGTTGGGCCTTCAAAATGTGTGACATTCATTTGAAAACCACTCAGCATTGAATTGAAAACAATGTGCTAGCAACAATTTAATAAAGTTTTATCATTTTAAACTAATTTTGTCTCCCTGTCACTTTAGAGAATCTTTAGTTTTGAAAATTAACTTAATTGGATTTTTTTCTTACTTCAGTTTTGCTGACACCAAGTTGGTATCTTGGCATGCGAGGCCATGGGTCCAGCTCCTTGGCTCTGAGCCCTGGCTGCTTCTAGCTGCAAGTTGGCAGATGGACAGTGCCCACTGCTGAAGTGGGCATCCAAGGGGAATCATTACAAGGGATCCTCGGAGAAGAAAAAAGAAGAAGGGATATTGTTTCCAGAGAAGGCTTGAGAATCAACAGAAGCTGCTCATCAAGCTCCCTGGGGCTCCCCAGGCAGCTGTGGGGGGCCTGGGAGATGGAATGGAGGTGGGAGATGGGAAAGGGATCTGGGAGATTGGAAGGGGATCTGGGAGATGGGAAGGGGGCCTGGGAGATGGGAAGGGGATCTGGGAGATGGGAAGGGGGCCTGGGAGATGGAATGGAGGTGGGAGATGGGAAAGGGATCTGGGAGATGGGAAGGGGATCTGGGAGATGGGAAGGGGATCTGGGAGATGGGAAGGGGGCCTGGGAGATGGGAAGGGGATCTGGGAGATGGGAAGGGGATCTGGGAGATGGGAAGGGGGCCTGGGAGATGGGAAGGGGATCTGGGAGATGGGAAAGGGATCTGGGAGATGGGAAGGGGATCTGGGAGATGGGAAGGGGATCTGGGAGATGGGAAGGGGGCCTGGGAGATGGGAAGGGGATCTGGGAGATGGGAAGGGGATCTGGGAGATGGGAAGGGGATCTGGGAGATGGGAAGGGGATCTGGGAGATGGGAAAGGGATCTGGGAGATGGGAAGGGGATCTGGGAGATGGAAAGGGGATCTGGGAGATGGGAAGGGGATCTGGGAGATGGGAAGGGGGTCTGGGAGATGGAATGGAGGTGGGAGATGGGAAAGGGATCTGGGAGATGGGAAGGGGATCTGGGAGATGGGAAGGGGATCTGGGAGATGGGAAGGGGGTCTGGGAGATGGAATGGAGGTGGGAGATGGGAAGGAGATCTGGGAGATGGGAAGGGGATCTGGGAGATGGGAAGGGGGTCTGGGAGATGGAATGGAGGTGGGAGATGGGAAAGGGAGCCTGGGAGATGGGAAGGGGATCTGGGAAATGGGAAGGGAGCTTGGGAGATGGGAAGGGGGCAGGGAGATGGGAAGGGCATCTGGGAAATGAGAAGGGGGCTGGAAATGCAGAAGAAGCTCCTTCTCCTCCTAAAGGACCCAGGCTGCTATATATTCGACGTGTACATAACAACTTAGGAGAAACAAGCATCTTTAAATTATAATATATAGGGAGGAGGAGAGAGACATTCAGATATGGCATAGGTCCATTTAAATTGGCAAATACCGAGGAAGGCTGCAGTGGGGAAAAATCTGTGGTCTCTTAGCACACACCTCAGGCAGCTCAAGTCCATGAAATAGGGAAGTGTGATTGGGTATTTCTTGGTCTCAAATAGCTGGAATGTGAAGCAGGAAGTTGCTGAGGAAGGATCATTTGGCTATTAGGTTCCACAGTCCTTGTAAAACCGCTGCTGCCGCTGCCAGGCTCTTATGTCACTTATTAATGATCAGATTTGAGCGATGTGCTGTTTGCGTCTTCCCTGTACCTGATCCAGGCCTGTAGGACATGAGGAAGAACTTAGGCTAATGACCTACCATAGGCAGTAAGCTGGAGACTCCACTGGGGAGGGGGTAGATGGGAGTGACACTCCTCTGAGCTCCACTGTCCGACCTCAAGTCCACAAGAAATGAATGGCCAGCTCTCCAGAGGAGCCCTTAGCTCAGGCTGAGAGGGTGCCTTGCAAACAGATGGGATTGAAGCAGGGGACTGTCATCTCTGGAGAGGGTGGAGGTGATGCCTCCTGGCCTTCTGTCCAGCTAGAACCACTCTCCAGATCAGCTGAGTAACCCAGCATGGGGCTGTTACTGGGCACCCGGGTGCTCTCCTCACTTGCTTCTGCCCTGGCCTGGAGGGTTCCCCTCCTAGCTCTGAGGCACATGGCCCCTCTCAGACTAGGCTGCCACCCCAGGGTGACAGTATGGCATGCCTGATGGCCCACGGAGGAGAATCCGAGAGCGCTGCTTCATCAGAAAGGACCTTGGGGACTGCTAAATGAAAGAGAGCTTACAAATGTCAGTGATTATTATGTGCAAAATTTGAGACACTGGTAAGGAAAGCATCTCCTCAGCCTTGTCCTTTTAAACCGAGCTCCCCCCTTGCCCATCCGCTCCCATTCTTGCTATTGCAAAGCCCAGTCAAGCTGATGCCGCTTACCCTTCTGCAGGAATGGGGCGCACGCAAAAGTCTGAACTGGATAATTTTCAGACAAAGAGCAGGCAGTTGTATTTGGTGCTCGGACATGAATCTGGCCTGAAGGTGGTAGAGGTATCTTTGCTAAGCTATCAGTAAAATACTGTGATAATTGAGATATATATGGATATATACACATATATGCACATAGTATTATTACACAATACACATGCATATTTATGCATGTTATATGTATATATATTTATACACACATGCATACCTGTATGTTCCATTTGAAGGAAGAATTCCAGGTGACGTAATACAGAGAACATCAAACCTGAAGTCAAGAAAACTTAAGTTCAAGTCCAGCCTCAGATATTTACCATCTTTATGATCCTGGGCAAGTCATTTAAACTGTTTGCCTCAGTTTCTTCAACTGTGAAATGGGGGTAATAACAGCACTCAAGGTTCTTGTGAGGATTAAATGAGGTAATATTTCTCAAGTGCTTTGCAAATCTTAAAATTCTATATCCATGCTATTATTAACTATCTCCAAACAGAGAGAGACAGAGAGACAGAGAGAGAGAAAGAGCTCAATGGTCCATGTCTCAGCCATTCACCCTGGGGGAGGCAGGCACACTGATTTCTGCTGGGTCTTTATCAGGCCCCAGAAGACCACGATATGGGCACCAAGAAAAAGAAGGCAGAATCAGTGCCTCCATCTGAGGCTCAGAGGTAGCCGTCCTTTGGGAAGAGTTCCCCAGGTGAATCTCAGGTCAGGAGGGAGCCCCTGGGCTATAAGCTCTCCCCTGCCTTGGTACACAGGCTGAGAAACCAGTCAGATCATCTGTTTGGTGTCACAGGAAGCTCACTGGTGAGCAGTGATGCATATTTCAACCTGGTTCTCTTTGTTTTCTGTTCTAACCGCACAGCGCCAGTTAGATAATTGATGCATCTGGTCAATTCAAGGGTGAATGAGAGACACCCCAGGAGAGAATGTTACCAACAGACCAGCACATGAGGCATGGAGGTCCTGCCTCACTGGGTGACTGTGGACTGTGTTGTTTTTTAATTTGATTTCTTTTTAATTGACATTTTATTGAATCTCTATTAGCCTCAGTGTCCTCATCTCTGAAATGGCAATCCTGGGAGCTGGGAAGAACTTTAGAGTTCATCTAGCCTCATTTTGTGGATTGCTGAGCTAAGGGTCGGAGGAAAAGGCTAAGCAATCCAGATTCACGCCATTGTGGTGCCAGAATTTCAGTCCAGTTCCATGATTCCAAACCCAGGACTTCTATCAGGCAGCTAGGTATGACAGTGGACAGACAACTGAACCAAGAGTCAGGATAGATGTGTCCAAATCTGGCTTCAGATGCTTACTAACTATGGGAACCTAGACAAGTCACTTAACCTCTCTGTGCCTCAGTTTCCTCATCTGCAATAATGAGGATACTGAAAGCACCTGCCTCGCAGGGTCATTGTGAGGATCCAGTGGGATGACATGGGCAAAGTGCTTTGCCGAGCCTGAAGTACTGTGTGAATATGATCATGACAGTGCTCTTTGGTGGGCCACGGGGCAGGGGTGCAGGGTGCTGCCACCTGCTACCACATGCTGAGTCTCTTCTCATGCTTCCCTTCCTCAAACGTTTGGGGATTCTCAGCTCGGAAGTGAGCGTGCCAAAGGCCAGTCCCATGGCCCTTCCTGGGGGTCTTCAGCTCAACCTCATGAGCATCGACCAATAATGACAGCTAGAGACTGAAAGGGCATTCCTTAGCCATAACGACAGTCACAGAACATGTACGACTATTTCCACAAAGAGGATTACCAGGGACTATGATCAGTACTTTTCCTAAGCCCACAGTGGTCTGGAAATGAATTACTTCTCAACTCCTCACTCAGGAAGAAGACCAAGAGGAGCACACCGAGAGAGAAACTGAGGGCTGTGCATTGACAAACAGACCCAAAGATGGACACAGAGATGGAAGGAGAAAGACAGAAACACACAGACGGAAAAAAATGCATGGACAGAAACACCGATCACACAGGCAGATATAAAGATGGCCAGGCATACAAATGGATGCACAAAGATGGACAGACGCATGGTCAACCATGTAGACTGAAATACACACAGACAGATGGCTGGAGTACAAGGCCAGACTTCTGCTCCACTCCAAAGCAGAGCAGACCCACATCAGCCCCCAGCTGCCCAGGTCAATAAGGCAGTTCATACTTCTCCTGGGATACCAGAAAGAAGGAATACAAGTGGGGGAAGAGTTTGCAAGTCCTTGCCCCCCTGGCAGTAAATGGGAACAAGGAGGGCAGTAAGGTGCTCAGATCCCAGACAAGAGATCCAAAGGAGGCGATGTTCAGAGGCGTCAGGCACCTGAAGAAGCCTTGCCTAATGGATCGGTTACATTAGGCTCCACACTGATCCTAGGGCTTCACTCAGTTCCTCCTCCTTAAGCTATGTCAGGCCTCTCTGTCCTTGTTGGAAGGTGAGTCAGAATCTTGTGGGAAGGGCCACCTGCCCCTAAGGCTACATCCAAACCAAAGCCGAAAAAAGAATTTTGAGGGGAAATGTAGTGAAGTGATGGCCCGTCCAGTGTTGCAGAGAGATGACCGGAGTCTTTTGGGGCCAAAGCCTACTCCTGCATGTGCCAAAATTCGTGGCCCATCTTCTTGCCCTGGCTTTACCCTTAGCCCCATGCAATGCCACTTGGGCCTCCTCCTGCCCCAGCTCACCCACTCTGCTAAGGAGGCTCCTGGACCTGGGAACCATCCCCTTCTATTAACCCCTCCCTCACCACAGCTCTCACATGTCGGGCCAGCAGAGACCAGTCTTAAGAAGGTTCTACCAATCTTCAGAGCCTCCAAGAGTGAGCCACCTGCAGAAGGCAGGCTGGGAACACCCACCACCATATACTGGGCCCCAGGAATGACTTTTCTGACCCCAGACATTTATAAAACACAATGCAGTGAGAAGGAGCAGGCCCAGGCTCTGCATCAGAAGAGGCAGTGAGGGCCATCACAGATGCCGTTGCAGGAGTGCAGTACTTAACACCATGCAAAGGTGACCAGCCCATTGTAGAGATGGGGAAAATGAAGCTCAGGAAAAGTGACTTTCCTACAGTCATGCAGCTAGTAAATGTCAGGATTGAGGTGCAAACTTGGGCACTTCATTCCCAGTCCAGCCACGCCCCTGGGTTAAATTCATTTGAGCAGGGTGGTCCTGGACATCACCTAGCTCAATGCTTATTTGCAGATAAGGAAACTGAAGCTTGGCTTGGTCAAGGCTGCCCTGGGTCATACACAGAGTTAGCAGCAGAGAAAATCCTTTAGCTGGGGTCTCCTGACTCCCAGGCTGCAGCTCTTGTCGTCACACAACGCCTACAATAGTTGTTTAAATAATGTTTTCACAGCATGAAAGTCAGATTTTACAAAGCATATTAAAATGCCAACTTTGGGATAAAAGATGAAAAACATCAACTAATTAAGCCCTGTAATATCCGTAGTAATTAGGAGATCTGGGTGAAATCTGAGACCACAAAAGTTTTTCTTGTTTTATCAATGTCTTGGGTAAAGAAGGAAACAGACAGCTCATCACACCTGCAGGTGACCCCACAGAGAGGAAGAGCTCATCCAGTGGAAGAGAGACCGAGGATGCCTGGAGATCCTGGCAGGCTGGAGCAGTGGGCTTCATCTAGGAAGAGGGAATTCACCACTGGTAAATATCCAGCCTCATACTTGATGTCATGCACACAAAGGGATGGGAGGGGGTGAATCTTGGTTTGTCTATAAAAGAGATCTGGGGTTTCAGTGAGGTTTCTGTGTCAGGTTTGACACAAGTCAGCAGTTGAGATGGCAAACATAAAATCTAAATTAAGTTAAATTAAATTGGATAATAACCAAGCCCATTTTGGGCTGAATTAAGAGACCCTGAGCTTCTAAGAATAAGGAGATGGCAGGTTTGCTCTCTGTGGCTCTGTGTCCAGACCACATGTGGGATACTGGGTTACTGTCTGGCTGCCCCCGCTTCCTAAAAGCAGTGGAAGGCTGCACTGGAGAGTGTACAGAGAAGGGCCATCAGAATGGGCAAGGCCTTTAGCCCGTATCCCCTGGGGATCCATCAAAGGAACAGGGGATGTTTAGCCTGGAGAAGTCTTGATGTGACTCGGTAGACATCTCTTCAAATATTTAAAGGTTCCCACAGAAAACATGGTCAGGCTTTTTCTGTTTTAATGACAAGGGCCAGAAATAGGAGCAATGGGGGAGCGGCAAGAAGCTGATGTAGCCTCAATGTTAGGAGGGACATGCCAACAATGAGAGCTGTCCCTAAGTGGGATGCCCAGTGGTCTAAGCAGCAGCGACAGGACTGCCTGCCAGGTGGGGTTTTGGGGTGCACTCAATGGCCCTTAAGAGAGTTCTGCAATGCTGTGTTTCTAAGTTTGTAGTGAGTTATAGAAAGATGACTCCTCAAGCCTTGTGGAGCTCATTCCCAAATGACCCCAGATGCTAAAAAACAGCTAAGTGGAGTAGGATAAAGTCTGGGACATTCCTGCCTCAGGCACCAGATATACGACTTTGAGCAACTCACTTCACTTCTCTCTGTATCTCTATTTCCTTATCTGTAAAAATGGAGATAATAATAGTACCCACTTTCAGGATTGTTGAGAAAACCAAATGAGGTAACATATGTAAAGTGCTTTGCAAATGTTAAGTTTTATATAAATGCTAGCTGTTGTTATAATGAGCATCTTAAAGAAGCAGGAGTAAAGCCTTGCATAGTCCAAGGAAAGGGGCTACAGAGCAGGTTGGGGTCATCACTCCTCCCCACACCATCCCTAGATTCTTCCCAGTATCCATGTTCTCCTCTCCACCACACAGGTGGATAGATGCCTTCCCAGCAGGCATGATCATGGGTGTCCCTCTCAGTCCAGCCACCGAGTGGTCAATAATGGGAGTGAGGTCAATCATTCAAGTGTTTAAGGGCCTACTCTATGAGAAATGCCATGCTGGGTACTAGCAACACAAAGAAAAATAAAATTATCCTCATCCTGAAGGACCTTCTCTTCCATCAAGGCAAACAACATGTATACACGTAAGTAAATACAAAGTTCACAAAGGAAATGTAGAGCAATTGGGGATGGGATGTGGTGGTGGGGGGTCAAAGGCACTGGCAACTAAGGGGACCAGGAAAGGCCTCCCAAAGGAGGGGAGACTGAAGATAAGCTTGGAGGGGCTGAGTCCCCCTTCTCTGTCCTCTTATCTTTCCATATTCCCACCTGCTCATTCCTCTAAAACACATGTCAAGGATTTGGAGTGCAAAAGAGTAGATGGTCCATTCACAGAGCCTGAGCTCTTAGGGTTAGCTGAGGAGCAGCCCAGGGGCTGAGCTGTTGCCCACAAGTAACCAAAGACCACAAGGATTGCACTGGATGAGAAGGGCCTGATGGAATGGTGGCCATGTTGATAACAGCTTCTTCAAGAGATTGACATGTTCCACTAATCCCTGCAGAGTGTGACCACTGTGCCTTCCCATGGACTCTGGCCTCCCTAATGAATGGCTTTACCCACGATGCTCAAGCCCATCCTCAAACACGGGTTTTGTGCCTACCTCAACAATGGCTCATACTACTACTACTGCTGCTGCTGCTGCTACTGCTACTACTACTACTAGCTAGCTAGCTAGCTAGCTAACTTTATGGCTTCCAGAGTACTTCATCCAAGTTATTGCATTTGACTCTTACAACAGCTCTGTGAAGTAGGTATATTTGGGATCCACAAGTTTAAGAGCCTCCACCTAGGACATAATCTTATCAAGTTCACCTTCAGGCAGATATTTAGCTTTCTAACCAAAACTTACAGAAGAAAACTTTGACAGTCCCTCTTCCCTTGTAGTTACATGTCTAAAAGGTTGTGGTGGAATGGCATGGCAGCTTTCAGAGTGGACACTATGGGTCCCAGTAAGGGTCCCCCCTGAATCTGCCCCATTGGGTACCCCCATCAATGATCTTGCCATGTAAGTGCCTATTCAACCATAAGATTGCTCTGCTAGTAACTCAGATAAATGTGCCAGAAAATGCATTTCTTACTGAGCCTGATTTTCAGGTGGAGGTCTGGGTTGAGCTGGCCCAGGTGCCCCCTTGCCCTCCTCCACACTGAGGCTGGCAAGAGAACAGTGTTCTTCATCTTCTTCTTCCAGAACTTCTGTCCAGTGGGCAAAGAGTCACCTATCCACTTGGAAAGTTCTGCTGCACCTTAGGAAAGAAGATGCCCAAAGAACAAGCAGGCCATGCACCACTGGTCAAAGGCGGTGGCAGGGGCTATTTCTTTGTGCTTGCAATGCCAACATATGCCCTGTTGGTTCCATCCAGCAGACATAGCAGCTGCAAGAGCTGCATCTCAGGCACAGAGCACAGTGTATTGTTAGAATTTTAATGCAGACCATCATAAAGAGGGCCTGGCAAAGGGCTTGGGCTGCAGGGGCACAGGGACATGCCTCTCCACTCCTGGCCATGTGCCTCTCAAGAGAAAATCAAGACCAGTTGTCACAAATGATGTTTACATAGTTACCCCAGCTCATTACTTATCCAAGGTAGATATTATTCAAAATAAGCAATTATCCCAAGAAAAACAAAGCCATTTCCCAGGGGAAGGCTTGTCCCTCTGGGTAAGCTGATGGCAGTCTGGCAAAGTCACTAACTGGAACCATAAAAGAACATTCTGCCCACAGGACAAAGTCCAAGCTTCATGGGCTAATATTCAAGGCCTTTCCCATTCAATTGCTTCTCTTCCTCTTAGACTCTCTTGCTTTGCTGCTCAGAATTCTCAATGGACTCCTTCTATTAGGGAGGGGAGCTTCCTCACCATCTTCCCAATAAGCCAGGCCAAGTTCCACACATTCACTTCCTACCTATGTTAACTCACCTCCCAAGTCCAGCTGTAGAAGAACTTCCTCCATGGAGCCATCTCTTATGCCCAGCTTCCAGTGACTCTATTCCAAGCTATTCTGACTGATGTGGAGGAGGATGAGGATGGCAATTATGACTGCAATGATGATAATGGTGATGATGATGATGATGATGATGATGATGATGATGATGATGATGATGATGGTAATAACAACAGCACTCCTTGTATAGTGTTTTAAGGGCAGCATATTATTTTACAAGTAATATAGCATTTGATCTTCATAACAGTCCTGGGAGGTAAGTGCTATAATTAAAAATCTTCATTTGACAGATAAAGAAAGTGAGGTAGCCAGTTAAATGATTTGCTCAGAGTTATGCATCTTGTAAATGTCTGAGGCAAGATTTGGACTCAGTCTATGTCCCACTTTCTCAACCATTACCATTGAATACCTTGCTGGGCTATTTGATTTCTATATCTTAATTCTCCAACATGATCATGAATAATTGAAAGGCTCAGTCCCTTCTTCATTACTGATTTACACTTTTTAGAGGATCCCAGAAATAGGAGCTATTCCTACTCTGGAATGATTCCTCCAAAAAGTCTAGCACAGAGGAAATGCCAAGTCCAACTGAATGAAAAGTTTAGAGTTGTCCCACATTGTGTGTCCACTCTGGACTGGGAAAGGTGGGCACAGAATGGACTTAAGCCCATAGCTAGCTAGGGAAAAAGTGGGAGAGAGCCCCAACACTCCCCAAATGAGCCCTAGGCTTCCAGACCAGATGATGAGTCATTGTCAGTGGTCTTGAGAAAACTGTTGCCAGATGGAGAGGTGCCAAAGGAATGGAGAAGGGTTCATCACAGCAATGTGGCATAGTGGGTGGAGATCTGGGTCTAGATTCAGGAAGGCCTGGGTTTAAATCCAGCCTCAGACACTTATTTGCTGTGGGACCTTTGGCAAGACACTTAACTTCTGTCTCAATTTCTTCAAATGTAAAATGGGAATAAAACCAGCACCTACCTCATGGAGGTATTGTGAGGTTCAAATGGGATATTTGTAAAGTTGGGGTGTATGTGTTGTTCAGGAGGACTAGCCTCTGTGCTGCGAGGGCTTGCCAAGTCCTTCTCAGGGCTACACATCCACCTTTGGTGTTCACTTGATTTACTTAACTCTCACCTATGACTCCAAAAAGCTGTAGCATGGACAGTGGCCACACCCCAGCAAACCTTCTCAGCAGACAGGCTAAACCAGATTGAAGTTAACCAACAGACCTCAAACCTTTCAGTGAGTTAGGGGGATGACTACCTCAACTATGTAAATATTTTCCCCAGAAGAATGGGTAGATGAGAAGAATTTGTTCCAATGGTCATGAAGGAGAGTGAAACAGGCAGTATAGAGCACTAAGAGCTTGGTCGGACATGGAAGACCCCAAGGTCATGCACTGCATCCTGGGCCATCGCCAGTCATCTTGACTTTTGCCCTTCAACTGAACATCAATGCCTCTGGAAGAGGGAGTGAGGCTGATGACTTTGTGCAGCTCAGCCTCACTTAAACTCGCTTCCTGAGCAAGCCAAGACATCGCCCATAACATCATTCGTCCTCTTCAAATGAATGACAGACAACATTTGTAAAGTTCCTAGCACAGTGCCTGGAATGCAGTAGGTATTTAATAAATCCTGCCTTCCCTCCTTCCTCCCTTCCTTCTTTCCTTCTTCACTTCCCTCATTTACCAAAAAAAAAGAAAAAAGAAAAAAGGATGAGACAGTCTACAAGCTAAGGACCAGTGAGCTTGTCTTTAATTCCTGACAAAAATTTACAAAGTATTATTAAGGGAGCAATTGTGGGTATAAAGAAATGGCAGCCATGATCACAAGACTCAGAAAGACTCTGGCTTTGGCCTCTCTTTTCTGCTTCTGTCTTCCACACAGCTTCCAAAGTAAAATTCTTCAAGAATAAGTCTGGGGGCAGCTAGGTGGTGCAGTGGATAGAGCACTGGCCCTGGAGTCAGGAGGACCTGAGTTCAAATCCTGCCTCAGACACATAGCACTCACTGACTGTGTGACCCTGGGCATGTCCCTTAGACCTAATTGCCTTCCCTCCCCCCCAAAAAAAGAGTAAGTCTGAGAATTACATCCCTCTGATCGAGGAGTTTCAAGAGTTCCCTGTCAGTTCCAGAACCAAATACAGCCTGTTTCAATCATTGTCGAAAGCCCCTCTACCCTTGCCTTTTCAGGCTTGTTGTCCACTTGTTCGTGCACTAGACTCCAGCAAAACTGGCCTGTTGGATGGTCCCTGCATTTGGCCTTCCCTCTCTACCTCCATGTCTGTGCTCAGGCTGTGTCCCTTGCTTTGAGTGAGCTTCGTCCTCACCTGGATGAAGCTCTTAGCATTCTCAACCTTCTCTAAGGCTCAGAATGTGGACCCACTCCCATGGAAAGTCTTTGCTGATGCCCTCAGTCTAGAGCATTCTGATGTTATCTTTTCCTGACCTTTTTGCTCATACATTGTTTCCACTTCCCCCAGAATATAAACTCCATGAGGACAAGCACAATTAGTTTGTTTGTTTGTTTCCCTTTGTATCTCTAGCACCTAATCCAATTTCTCATAGGTGATAGGGCTTGTTGGGATAAGGGTCAGAATAAACTGGGACTTAAATGAAGGCATGGATTTCATGAAATTTTCAGAGGAAATAAAACTGGGAGGGACAGTTGACAGGTAAGAGTCAAGATAGCTTGACAGCTGGAGTGCAGTGTTAAATCAGATAAGCTGAAAATCAGTAGGAATAAATGAAACGTCTTACATTTGGCTCCAGATAAAAACCAATAAGAGCAACACAGCTTCCCCAGGATTGACCCTCCCCTGTGCTTGCCTACCTCAGTAGCCATGCCACTGGGCTCCAGGTACTCTGGTCACCTAGGTCTCGACAGTGGTTGTCCAAGTCCCCATATCGTGCTTCTGCTAGCCACACCCAACAAACTGATGGCAACTCCACACCTCAGGCCAATCCCTGATGGACAGTGATAACCCACCTTAATTATTATCTCTACAATTAATGTACTTCTGCCTACTAAGGTTGTTTTTGTGTTCGCGTTTGTGTCTTCAAATGAGGATCAGAGGGAGGGAGAGAAATGAAAGCTTCTCAACTGAAAAGTTAAAAAAGATTACTTTTTTAAAGACTTGGCAGAAGGGGAGAGGCTGATAATTATCTTCCAGAAGAGTAGTTGAAGGATTGTAGAGGAAGGTGTAATTACCTTTTGGTTGGCTCCAGAGGGACCGATCAGGAGCAATAGGAGAAGAGCACAAAGAGACAGTTGGAAACCTGTTGTAGAGTGAACGCACCTCCTAGAGTGCCGGTGGCTTCCCACTCATTGAAGGCCTTCGGTAAGAAGCCAGGTGATTACTTCTTGAATCTGGCTTGGTGGGGACATCTTTTGGGTATAGTTTGTATTGATTGGCTGACCACATTCCTTCTAACTGTCACATTCTGTGATTAAGTGACTGGCTGGTGAAGCCATCCAGTGTCTGCTAACCAGTCTGAGTGGAAATAATGCCAGGAGTAGCCAGATGGTGGAAGTAATGGTGACAAGATAGTCTCTTTCCTCCCTCCCCCAACAACGCCTTGTAATTCTGAGACTGATCAATGCTTGTTGAAAAGATCTTTGGGTGTATCCATTCAAACAGTTATTAGCAGACACAGACACACCCTGAAGGCTCTGTGGTTAACATCCCTATTTTATAATTGTGGAAGCCAGAGTTCCAAGGGGATCAGAGAATCAAAACTGAAGGAAATTTTGTCATAGCTACAGTCAGTTTTCAAGCTGAAGAGCCATCAAAAGCCATCTCATCCAAAGCCCTCATGTTACAGTTGAGTTAATAAGACCCAGAGATGTAACTCACCCAAGTCACAGATGCTCAGGTGGTAAGTGGCAGAGCCAGGAGGCCGCTCCAGGTCACATCTTGTACTCCACAGTCTAGGAAGGGGAGAAGACAAAAACACAGGTTGATAATTTTGGGTTTGCTTTTGGTTTCTTGTTGCTGTAGTTATTTTAATTATGGAGGGGCTGCTGCCTCTCAAGTCCATTCTAGCTTTATGGGGGACCCAAGAATGACAAAAACATGGCCCCTTCCCCAAGAATCTTTTTGATGGGACCTAGAAGAATGAAGTGTCTTTAATATTTAGGACATGATTAAGTGCCAGATGAGGAAGTATTGAAGGAGTTCAGAGCAAGGTGACATTAGACATCAGTGTAAGAGAGTCTTCCTGAGAAGTCAGCCAGCTGCAGCTCCCTCTCTCATGGGAGAACAAACCAGAGCCTGTGGGCTCACTCCTTCATTGTTCTGTGTTCCAGATGGGGTGTTCTGGGAGGATTAGTACCTCTGGCGTGAAAGCTTAATATGTCCTTTTCAGGGCTTTTCATCCACCTTTGGTATCTACCTTCACCCAACTCTCATCTGTGGCTCCAAGAAGCTCTAGCATGCACAGCAGCCACACCCCAGTAAAATTGTCTTGGCAGGTGGACTAAACCAACTTAAGGATAACTGACAGGCCTGAAACCCATCAGTAAGTTAGGTGAATATCTACCCCAAGCATGTGAAGATTCCTCAGTCGAATGGGCAGATGAGAAAAATTTATTCCAATAGTCATGAAGGCAGCTGAAAGCAGATACTGTGGCTTGCTTAGAACTTGGTCAGACATCAAAGAGCCAATGTTGTACACTGGATCCTAAGCCATCCCCAATCATCCTGACTTTTGTCTTGCCACTGACTCTGGAAGAGCAAGTAAGGCTGAAGACATCGTGCAGCTCTGCCTTTCATAAGCCCAATGCACACTCAAGTCAAGACACCACTCCATGATGGTGTTGGTCCTCTTCAAAATGAAGAACAAACATAGGGACCTCTTGGCTCATAGGCCTCCACTGAGAAGTAGGCCCTATTCCTGAGGGTAAAGAGATGGCATCCATCTGTGTGAGCCTTCATCCCAGAAAAAATCTGCTTTGGTCCCATAGCCAAAAGGTGCTCAGCCCTGCTCACTGAAACAAGAATGGGAGGACCTTCTGTTCTCACTTTGGAACTGGCTTTCCCTATTTGTGAGG